CTATAGATCCACGGATCACGGAAACGCGGTTGAAACCGGAGCAAAATGTCGGCCAGCTCTGGCACAGATTCGTTTAACCGACGTCCAAATTTATGCGTTACTACAAAGCAACGTTGGCCAGGTTGGTCTGGCCCGGCTTTTGGCCACTGGCCACGACTCTTGCTGGTACCGCCGTTTAGGATCTTTCTTTCCGTTTTAAATGACCACTATCTCGCTGGAAGATTAACGAGAATGGCGACAGAGATCATAGCAAGTGTTTCAATTAGTGTTACTCTCGTGATCGATTAAGATGTTCAGACGTCGGACGAAATAGGTGAAAACAATGGCTAAAAGTTCGGGCGTGACCCCTGTCGGTAGACTAGGGATTACGTCGGAGCCTGCGTAGACGTGAAATAGCTGTAACAGCATGGAAGAAGGTTCGTTGACCTGTTTTCATCGTGATAGATGCAATTACCGAGACGCCAGCCCGTGCGAATTCTCATGTTTTCTGTAGTAAGGGGATGCGTGGCTAAATTATTATACTCGAGAGATTTCTTTTTGAAAATATACATAAGATACGACTTTCATTTATTTAACGATGTTAACCCTTAACTCTTTGGAACACGATTGCATTAAAAATGTCCCATCCTTTTAATGCATGGTATAACATTTTTAAACTCATCTCGAAATATTGCAATAATATACGCATAGAAACTCATGTGGCATGAGCAGACTATTAGAGTTTCAACGGATAATAACAAATTGAGTTAAATTATTATATCTTTATGTTTTTATATTATGTGACTCTTTTGTTAATAAAAATATACCAATTTTGTTTAATTTAAAACGTAATAAAGTTTCTGTGCAATATGGGTCGATTTTATTTTCTGAAATTCTGCCTCAAAGAGTTAATGGTCATACTTCATCAGAATAACATACCTGACATACTGGAATAATACTTATATTCACACCTGAAATTTTTAAATTTAATAATTGGAAAATTTACAACTTTGCAAGTTTCAGATTCTGAAAAATTATAAATTTGAAAATTTGAAAATTGTGGAATTTGAAAATTTGGAAAACTTTTTAATTTTGTGGAAAATCATCTCTATATTATCTTAAATATCGCAAATCTAGAAATAGTATTCTAAACGTTCTACTTTAAGACATTTAAAGTTTGAAAAACACTGTTATCGAAGAATGCAGAAGAGAAGTTTTGAAGATATCTATCGCATGTCTACCCGATTTCGCTTCTTAAAACTTTGATTATAAATCCAAAAGTTACGTGTGTAAAATCCTAAACTTCACCTATTTTTAGATGCCTGCGAGTGGCGTATCCTCTTACATATAGATTACCTCATTTGCGAAATACTTTGTATCCTCGAAAACAAATTTCTAGGACGATCATTTTCTTGTCAGCAGGATTATTGGGCAATCAACTGTTCGACACTGATGAACGTTGTCGATACAGGGTCAATTGCCGAAGGGAAATAGTCAATAAAGGTAGTTTCACTAGGGAAAGAGGAAGGTAACTGATCGTCCCATTGTCATCAGACCCAATATCGGTGACCTCTCGTTTAAGCAATCAGTTAATCTACAGGAACATCATCTGTGCGCGACATGTTCACTCGAGGTCGAACTGCAAGTAATAAAGATGTCTCTATAATCGATTTTTATATAAAGATCCATAGTGATCATAGAGCGTTAAATTATATCCGTTCCATCGTGACGATCGATAAATCTTAACGACTCGTTGATCATCGAATTACCATGCGAAACGCAATGCATCATTTGCGAAGATGAAAACGTACATTATTCAAGAGGGTAAAGTAGTCTGACAGCTTGAATATAAAGCTATTTTTAAATGTTCTTTTTTCAATAAATTGACAGTTTGTTTGAATATTTGGGGATAAAAGGTTGTAGGAAAGGTTAAGGTGAGTGCGACTATTCTAAGCGAAAATAACCTTTTTATTTCTCGCACCTACACAAGAAATAATGTTTAAGGTCAGCGAAATTTCTATAGTTCCACTATAAATTTTACGTATTGATGAAACTTTTGAAGTTTCTGAATTTTGCGTTTTATTTTCATTATTATTCCAATATTTGAAAACGAATTCAAATTCAAGCGAAATCCACCTCTAACTTTTCCTCTCACGCAATTTTATAAGAACAGTACAGAGTATGAAAAAAATAGTAATTTTATTTCATTTTTAAATCAGTTTAGTTTATTTCAAAATTAAACGACAGAATGTTATTAAATAAAGAGAAAAAGGCAGAAGTAAAAATAAAAGAATTACACCGCGCAATTAATAATTTTTTGTTCATATAAAAAGGATCATCTCAAGAACGGGAAATAAATTGACGCAAGAGCTACATCGTTAATTCGAATTACAAAATGTATCGACATAAAATGGGATAAATACAAGATTTAAAGGTCTCTGTTACGGGAAAGCGTGTATGTAAATGTTTTATGCAAGGGAAAGAGGCCTTGGAATCATCTCTGTTGTCTCCCCATAAAAAAAGTAAAGACTCGCGGTTATGAAAAGCTACACAACTTGGAGAACAGAATAGAAACACGCAATTTTTTCAGGTGAAAAAAGTTTAATCTGAACGAGCTAAATGGTTTATAATTCCACTCAAACATTTTGACGAAAAATTAAGATATAGCTGTGAGTCGAAATTTTGACGATGGAATACTTAGGCTTTATTTAGGTAAGGTAAATAGTGCTCAAACAAGTTCCAGTAATTAACAATCGAGTAGGAATTTTATTAGCGACATTTCTACTTATTTTGAAGGTTTAAACTAATTAAAATTTAATAGTAAAAAGGTTTTAGATAGGTGTAATTAGTTTCTGTAATGCAATAATTACGTCACGCAGAAATATTATTATACAATATTTCAAGATTCAATGTTTTTAAAATAAGCTTCAAAAGAATTCCAGCAAGCGAGTACTTTTGTTAAAGTTGTAATTAATATGTCATATAATCTTGTACACAGTTGTTTGGATTTATTGAATAATGTTTAATATTGTTTTAGATATATTTTATAATAGAAAATTGTTAATCTTTCTTCTCATTAATTTTGTTTCAATATTGAAATTAAGTACTGTATTTTTTCACTAGTACGTGATAATATGGCACTGACCTGTCATTAAACGCCATTGACACAGACGCCATTTTGCATGAGACCGAATTATTAAACGAATCAACTTCGGTGAATTTATTATACTGTTAATACTTCCTGTATTACAATATATTTTATATTCTGTACATTTATGTTAATGTCAATACTAAAATATTATTTTGTTTGTTTTCAAACTTGTCATAATATCAAGATAACACGCCATGAATATTATGCAGTTATTGAACTACATGAACATTTTTAAATCTTAATTAATTTTTCTTCCGCAAATGTAGATTCTTATTATTTTATTTGAAAGTATAAAATTTTCCCTACCAAATGAACGTATTTAATTTTACATTGTTTAAATATAAAAGAAATTGCAATTATCTGTACCGTTTCCTTAATCGTTGGACCACTGGGACATTTATCCTAATGACTTGGGCTACATTTAGCTATGCAGAGAAAATACGAATATGCTGGATACTAATGAAAATTAATTCCGCAAAGTACGTAGAAATATTAGTCGATGTTTTAATTCCATTCATGGAACAATCAGATTCTGTAGAGCAGATATTTGAGCCGTTTATTAACAACGTTAGTAACTAACTTCAAAAGAAGGGAAAGCAGTTTCATGCACGAAATGCGGATACACTTTGAATATGCTAATTATAACTTTAGAAATTGCACCTGCCACTACTCCGAGTAGATTTTAGGACTTAAAATTGTTATTTGAGCCCTTTACTTTGGAAGTGGTCTAAGTTCATTTATCAGTCGAATGAACTTGGGTTGTTTCAAATTTTCTGATAAATCTAGTTGTTAATTTTGAAAGTGGGTCAAGTCTATTTTTGGTGAGAAGACACATATTATTCACTCAATAATTGATATTATTGTGATAGGAATTGTAAATTTAACTCTCTTGAGCATAAATTTAGGCATAAATGAACTTAGACCACTTTCCAAACAAACGGCTTACTTCAGCAAAATAATGCAACCGTACATTGAAGATTTACTAAAGAATGGTTTCAAACCAAAAATAGCATGTTAATGCAGTGAGTGCCTGATCTACGACCTAAACCCAATTGAAAATCGTTGTAAAATCCTCGTAAGGTGAACGCGAATGTCAAGCATTATGCTTAAAAGCATATGGCGCCTAAAAGCAGCATAAAGTAAGCTTGAGATAGTGTAGAAATGTTACTCTTAGAAGTTTCAAGTAAAAACATAAACAGTAGGATCTTTTTAGTAATTTGTAAAAATGGTGGAAATATTAGTACATAAAAACGAAGTAAAAGATTCTAGCTGTATATTGTAAATAAAGCATTGTAGTATAAGTTATATATGTATTTTTATAAAATTATACATTTTAAGTATATACTTTTTACAAAACATATATTCTTCAAATTAATATCAGAAATAAATACTTATTTTATCTTAAAACTGATCAGATGTCTTTGTAATCTACATCATGACAGTAAATAGAATTTTAATACTTTTTACAAATTATATGAATTACCAAACAAATGCTACGTAAAACTATGAAAATTTCGCTGATTATATAACTATGTATACTGAATGTGCAACATATTACGTTTTATAAACTTGCCACAAAGTAGAGCAGTATGAAGCACAGCAATATCTCACTTTTAATACTATTTATATGATCAGTGATAAATTTTAATATTTATTTATTCGAAGCTGCAATGTTCCGCATTACATACATATACATATATGTAGTTACCCTACATGCAAACTTTTCTAAAGACTAACTATGCAAAAATTCAATTCATTTATTTAGCATTCGATTTTAAATGAGGATGTCTCTTTCAAAAATAAATGACAAGAAACAATTCGGAGATATTTATCAATATTGAAATGAAGATGATCGTAATTTTTTACTTACCGTTTATTAATGGTAGAGGAGTCTGGCTCATAGTAATGTCTTGTAACGGCAGGTTTGTGCTGTAACAGAATGAAAACAAACGTATCAATTAGAGTGAAATTGCAATTAATTAGTAGTCGAAATAAAATTACACATGTGCGAGTTCGACATGTTCCACATTAATATATTCCGCATAAATTCACATAATTTGGATAAATGTTTACCATAATTGATCGAAAACTACGGTAATTACTTAAACAAAATTATGAAATAAATTATTAAATAAAAACCGTAAAATAATTCCGAATATCGTATAAATTACATCAATAATTTAACGCAACAAACTGAAGTACTGCATTACATTAAAATATTAATTTTTAACTTTTTATTGCATGATGTTTTCAATGTTGAAAAATAATTCTCTTTTAGATTGTCATAGTTAATATTAATGAGAAAATAACAATAAACAAATATTTTCAATGAGAAAATTGATTTCAACTGATACAATATTGCACATTTGCAGCATTTTGAAAAGAATAAATAAAAAATTATATATGAAATATAAGAATTGTTACCAATAATTTAATGATTTATGAATCACGATATGTACTAACGTTTTCCACAATATGAGTACGTCACAATATATTATTTTATGCAATATATTTGTAACATAATGCAACGAAGAATTAATACCTTTTATCTTATACCTTGACATTTTCACTATGACCAAAAATAAATATATTTTTTATTTTATTTATTAATGATTTATACGGGTCTTTCTTTTTACTAAGTTCTTAATATTTGCTGATGATCTCAAAATGTATCATAGCATTAGTAATCCACAATGTGTTCATCGAATTCAATATGATCTTAACAGACTTCACCATTGACGTTATCCCTCAATTTAACCACGTATCACGTTGTTAGTAAATCAGTAATTATTTACAAGCATCACACAATATTATGTAACTTGATAATTATTTACAAGTTTTAAACATTATTTATAATTACACAATTGATGGTCAATCGCTGTCTGCAATGAATATTGTTAGAGATCACAATTTCTGTTTTATGATACATTTACAAAATACTCTTCTTAAATTATTAGTCTTGAATTGCTGGATCTCATTTGTAGCGTCTCAACATTTTTTAAGAACGCTATACTGACAACTAATTTACCTATTTCAGAATACAGAAACATAATTTAGTCTCCGTACAATAAATCTGATAATAATCTCTTGCACTATTTTGACAAGTTGATTCGTGACGCACTCGCACTTCAACTGTAACAAATCTAACTGCAACTTTTAATATGCTTCAATCTGGTGTTCGAGTCCAATTAAAATTTACATAGTCAAGGACTGCCAAGTACAAAACTGACATGGCATTTCAGTTTTCTTTCTCTGCTTTAACTAGTTAACTGTGGTGATCTTTTTGCAAAGCGCGCACCAGTGTGTGTCGCAATAATCAAGCGATGACGAGTTAGCTCTCAAGAATTTATGAATCCATCTCAAATCATTTACTTTTTTTATTTGTTTATTTCATTTCGTATTGACCTCTAAACATTTTAAACATATTACAATTTACGAATATAATTTAGTTTTCGCCAAAATTACAATTTAAATATCAAATTGTAACAAAATTTTACGCATGTCGGATATAGTCGTGATGACACAAAATTCTGCCACATCTCCATGACGGATATAGTCGTCAAACACACTTAACTGGTTAATATTGCACTTGTGATTAGTTAGTGCTGACTGATACACCTTACAAATAAATCATAGGGCAAGGTGTTAATGGTACTGAATGCACGCAACATAAATTTAGAAACCTTGCTATTGAGCACAGTGGTTCTCCCATGCCCTTTAACTTTCATAACTACGATTTAATTCTTAATAATATAAACCTCCAAACAGAGTAAAAGAAAAATACTCGACGCTTTATTCTTTTGCATAATAATGAAAGTTACATCTTGCCCGACGATAGTCGAGCTTTCCTCAAGTTGCCTAAGAACTGTAATTTGTAATTGTTCAGTAACAACATCGCAGTAATTATGGTCGCTTGAGTTGAATATATTATGTTAATCCAGTGCATCATTATATTGATATATTCAGAAACTCCAGAGTATCATTAAACCATTTAATAACCGATCTTGTATTTTAATATGTATTAATTATAATACATTTTGTTGATATGCAACATGTATATTATATATTAAATATATTATATTTTCTCTCGCCACGTTTCTTTTTTATTAAAACTATAATTTATTTACTTGTTCTAAACAGTTGTAAAACCATAAAACGTTGAATCGCCCCTACATTAAATACTTTTGTATGAAGGGTCCTGTGAATAAATAAATAAAATAAAAGTACATCCTCTCTGTATAGTTCTGTTTGTACATTTCGATACGTTATACTTGCACAAATATTCACACAAGCGATTACCTTCGACAAAAAAATCAAACGTACGATAAGTGTGGTTACAATGCCATTCTCTAAAGAGAAAGAAGAGGGACAGAAATGCTTTTTTTAAGTTTCTTCGAGACGATAATGAAAGGACGGTCTTTGACTGTAGCTCAAAGACCGTTTATTTTCGGAATACGGCCGAAAATGGAGCGAAGGCACGTGGTGCCTTCTGATTCCACAGGAAATAGACTCAACGAACTAGACCGAATTAGATGAAACTTTTAAAAAGGATCAAGATGAAGGCTAACTTCTATTTCCAGAACGACGAGCAATCAGGAGCAAAACATCCTCGGTAGTAAGGACGAACTTCGGACATAGATTAAGGATTAATCAGCCGAATCGACTGCGATTTAAGTAATCTAAAGAATTCTGTTGGAATCTTGCCCTGTCCACCTTCGTATATCACAGATAACAGGCATATGTCGATATAAATTCATTGGAAATTTCTCAAAAATGTTAAGGCTGAATTATTAATCCATCTACTGCCACTCAAAGGAACATTTTGCATTGCAGATTTAATTTTAAGAAAAAACACATAAATTTTCGGAAGATAATATTTAGTTACAGATATGCAGTCCCTGGCCATCGAATTAAGACCACTATAAATTTTTCATGTTTTTTCGAATTTTTGACAGTTCAGCATTTTTCACATTTTCCGTAAAAATAGAAGACCTGTCCAAATTGTAATGATATAATTTATTAGCTATTACATGATACACTATTACTGTACATAACAGTATTAACACATGTTAATATCGTGTATTGCTACCCATGCTTTTATACTTCGTTTTTATATCTTTTTTATATATTCATTATTTTTCCAAATATCTGTAATTCTTGTTTTCAACACAGATAATGTGGTGCCTGGAGAATTGTAAACTAGTCTTTTGACCAGGTTCCATTCATCACGTGCTTTTGATACTCAAGCTTAACGTAAAACCCTCGCATGGACCTTAATCGCTCATCACCCACACAATTTGATTATTATTACGATAGTAACAAACCAATTGCTCTGTATATATCGTTATCAACGTATTTAATAATAATTTTGCATGACCTAAGACAATTTTCCATATATGACATAATGTTATAGTCATAAAAGTAAAATTATTTCATGTGGTCCTAATTCAATGGCCAGGGCCTATAGTACTAAAATAGATTGTAGTAAAAAAAGGTACTACGAAATATCTCGTAGCTAGCGGTTTTAGTGCAGACGCTTACTACAAAATATCTCGCAGTTAACAGTGAATGGGTACAAAACATCTATTATGAATACTTTTGTCAGGTTATAATCTTGCCCTGTTCATCTTTGTATGTCATAGATAGACATATAGGTTCCCTATGTCGATAAAGGTTTCATTCTTGTGAACAAGACAATAACAATTATTTCATTCTTGTGGACAAGACAACAACAAATTATGTAATGTAATAACACCGTTATTGTTGGGTTAATGCAGAATTTTCCTTGAACATATACTTACACACTTTCGTATTTTATAAAAATTTTATGAATCAATGTGTACTGCTTTTGTTCCCGCGTTAAAAGAGCGATTCACAGCTGGGATGTGGACACTTGCCAGATAAAAATTGCAATCGTGACTTAGTCAATCCTGGGTTAGGTTAAGGTTTTTGGTAAAATGTAGGAAATCAACATAGTGTTTTTTACGTATGCACAGTATAGGAAAGTTACAAATTTTTATATTTCTATAAACTTCATTTCTCTAATTTTCACAACTGTAAATTTAAGAATTTCGAATACGTTTAAAAATTATCAGTGCTTAAATTTCTAAGTACTTAAAATAAATACCCTAATCTCTGATTTCTAAATTTTTAATGTGAAAATTTTCTGATCTCAAAATGTTTATATGACTAGCCTTATAAATTTAAAAATATCTAACTAAAACATTTTTAAACTTTTTCAACTTCTTCATTATCCAAAATTTTAAATTTTCAAATCTCCTAATTCACAAATTTAAAATTTTTTAAATTCAGTACTTAAAAAATTTCCAAATCCACAAGTCCAAAATGTCGAAGTTTCCAATTATAAAAATTTCAAATTTTCAAATCTTCTTATTTTCTAAATTCCCAAATTCTTAAGTCTCCTGAATATCCACATTCCTGAATCTTCACAATATCCCAAATTCCCGAATCTATCGATTTCTCAAATCGCCAAATCCCTAAATCTCTACAACTCCCAGATTACTAAAATCCTAAGCATCTAATATTACATCTTCATCATATTCAAGTTTTGTCAAGAATTTTCTAAACTACAAATTTCGTAATGACTATATTTACAGGAAAACACATAAATAACTAGATATTCGCGAACAGCTATTCTTTCATTGCATCAATCCCCCTATACAACTTTTAGCAAAGGTCACATTGATGGGTTCTGTCACCATGTAACTTAAAACGACATATTATGGATTCCTGGACTAATTGCGAATGCTGTAAATACACAGCATGGACTAACCAATTTGCTACACTAATCAAAATACTATAAAACTCCATTTAGACTACTTATTCATGTGCACAAATGTACAGGTGAAACTGCCAGATACCACTTTTCGTCAGAGAATCAAACTTTCTTAAAATGGGCTAAAACTCCT